TTTTTTTTGTTTTTTGGCATTAAGTAGTTCAGGAGATATTTAAGGAAATATATCTACATAAAAGGTTGAATAACCCAAGAACCGCTTGACCGATTGCGCCCACCCACAATACGAACTTTTTATATTATGAGAGCCAGAAGTGTACAAAATTTCAACTCGCTATCTCTATTTTTTATTGACTTATCGTGTAAACAAGATTTTTGATGATAAAACAGAAAAATGGCGATATTGTAAAATTTCATCCGACCAAATGTAGATATTTCGATTGATCTAGATAGGGCCTATCGAGACGAGTATTTTGAAAAAAAAACATTGAAATCCGTGCAGTAGATTTTGAGATATTGAGGAAAAACGAAATTTAAAGAAGTTGTTATATCTCAGGAACTACTGGATCGATCGAGCTGAAACGGCGCACCAAAGTGAAGCTTAATCATAGCTACCATGAGCCAAAATTTCAGATTTCTATCGACAAATTTCACCGTATTTATTTATGTCAAATACAAGGCTTCCATTCGGAAGTAAAATGAAAATAGCAAGTTGAAATTTGGTATGATTATAGCTCTTACAATATTGAAGATTCATATTTTGGATAGGCGCAATCGGCTGAGCAGTTTCGAAGATATTTAACCTTTTGTATAATTAAATTTTGTATTTCATTAAAAGGTTGAATTTGTTCCTGTAGCCATCCTGTAGCATGTGGTTACGGTTGTATACCTGTCACAAGGACAGGGCATTACTACGGGTCCATTCGGAAGCTTACTACCAATGGAGTTGGTAGAAATAAAAAAAAGAAAAGGACTAACGCAAAAAGTAACGGTCACATGCTTTCTGTCGGATAGGCTCGAACCCCTGCTTTTTTTTTCATCTCATAGTGAATGTGACATCCCGCAATCCGTGTAAAAGTTCGAATGAACCCCATGAGATTTCGGCTACAAATCATTAATATCTGGTCTCACTTCTGTACGAAATTTGGAGTCGATCGATTCAGAACATCATGGCATAGAGCCATTCATCTAAAAATCGTTTTCTCTAAATAAGCCGGGGTTCGGGCCCATCCGACAGAAGGCATGTGACCGTTACCTTTTGCGTTATTAGTCCTTTTCGTTTTTTATTTCTACCAATTGCATTGGTAGTAAGCTTCCAAATGGATCCGTAGCAATTCCCTGTCCTTGTGACAAGTATACAACCGTAGCCACATGCTACAGGATATCTACAGGAAGATATTCAACCTTTTAATGAAATGGATTTGTACAAAAGGTTAAATATCTCCGAAACTGCTCGGCCGATTGCACCTATCCAAAATACGAATCTTCAATATTGTAAGAGCTATAATCACACCAAATTTCAACTTACTATTTTCATTTTTTCTCAAAATATCGTGCGTACAAGAATGAAAAAAATTAAAAAACGAAAAAACGGGAATATCTTTGATTTTTTGTCTGGACGGGTATACATGTTTTGATTGATCTACATGGTAGCCACCGAGACAAGTATTTTGAAAAAAATTGAAATCCATTAAGTAGTTCAGGAGATATTCAAGGAAATATATCTACATAAAAGGTTGAATAACTCAAGAACCGCTTGACCGATTATGCCCACCCACAATACGAACTTTTTATGTTATGAGAGCTAGAAGTGTACAAAATTTCAACTCGCTATCTCTATTTTTTATTGACTTATCGTGTAAACAAGATTTTTGATGATAAAACAGAAAAACGGCGATATCGTAAAATTTCATCCGAACAAATGTAGATATTTCGATTGATCTAGATAGGGCCTGTCGAGATGAGTATTTTGAAAGAAAAACATTGAAATCCGTGCAGTAGATTTTGAGATATTGAGGAAAAACGGAATTTAAAGAAGTTGTTATATCTTAGGAACTAGTGGACCGATCGAGCTGAAACGGCGCATCAAAGTGAAGCTTAATCATAGCTACCTTGAGCCAAAATTTCAGATTTTTATCGACAAATTTCACCGTATTTATGTTGAATTTTCTAAAAATTAATCATCAAAATGTCGAATTTTTCAGCACATACATACAGACATGCCCTAAAAACATGGTTTTTTCACGTTTCATAATATTCTAGACCATTTGCCATCGAAATTAGAAAATCGAAAAATCGATCAAATACAAGGCTTCCATTCGAAAGCAAAAATGATAGATCGTCACTTTATCGATGATTTTCGCATCTGGATGATTAAAAAAGTCATTCAACATTAAATTATCGTCATTTCAATTTCATATCATATTGTTCAATATCAGTCTGATTCATAATAAATGAGTGTTTATTAAAGATTTTGGGGCGAAAACATGATAAAAAGAAATACAAAAAGGCGTGACGCGTCCGCGGAATAGAATTAAAGATAAAAGAATAATAGTCTTTGCAATGCTAATTAATCTTAACTACACTTTATGACTGATACTATTGAAGAAAAGATTTTTAAAAAATGAGAATATTAAAAAATTAATAAATGAAAAAGAAATGGAGAATAAAAATGAAATATTCATTAGTTTTTTTAAAGATAATATCCATCAGATGAAGTCGGGAAGTTGAATAGGAATTGCCAATTCTCATTTTTGAAATTGAGATTGGTAGGAAAAAAAGCCTAATAACACATGAAGAAACAGTCACATGGCTTCTGCTGAATAGAAGCTTTACCCTGCCTGTTTCTATAAATATGAATCATACGCCAACCATATTATTCTTAACTCGGCTGTAAATGTAACAAATTTGTGTGAAAAAATCTTCAAGAGAATATATATCTATTCTACACATTTAATTTGTCCTTCATGTGATACTCTGATAAAAAATGAAGTTTTGATCAAGCCAAACATAGAAGCATTATTTCAATTTTCTTAGAACGATTTTTCAAGTGTGTTAAGTATCACTATTCAGGAAATCTCAAGTCGTTTTCCATGAACATCTTTTCGTAGAATGTCCTTCAGACAGTAATTTGCAAGCATCATTGAATGCTTTTCCCACACAGTAAAGACGCATGTCCAAATTTCACACATCTTTTGTAGACATTTTTCAGACACTAATAAACGTTTGAATAAAATGAAAATTTGTCTGAATCTCAGACGAACAGGTGCCTAAACATCTTAATTTATGTTTAAAATTGAGACAAATTTTCATTTTATTCAGACGTTTTTTAGTGTCTGAGAAATGTCTACAAAAGGTGTGTTAAATCTCAGACATTCGTTTTTGCTGTGCAAAGTTTTGAATGCACACCATGCACACTGTAAAGTCAAGTATGTAGCATAGTGCCTAGTTATTATACACTACACGTTTAGGATGTGTGTACTTTCATTTAGGTGTGCTCCTTATAGCGAAGGTGTGTAGATTTTACACGCTAGTGTAAAACGTGTATATTTGAGCTACTCGATACAATGTGCGTTCCAAAACTATACACCAAAATTTATGCACGTGAAATGTGAAGTGACTACTCGGGGCCACATGTTTTACACGTATATATGGTGCACCATATTGTCTGTCAGGCATCGTCAATTTCATAAATTCGGAGAATTATCAGCCCTCACGCGATAGGTGATTGCAATGCGTGTGTTCTCAAAAATGATAAAAGGAGGAAAATAGACGATTTAAAACCTCAAAAAATAATACCATTGAATCCTACAGAAAGCATATGTCCTCATCTGTGTATTTATATTAAATCAAAGAACTCGTAAATCGGTGAGAAAAATCATACAAAATTAGTTTTAATTAAAAGGAAGACTGTCATGAAATCCTTGCATGACGAATAAATAAGGTAGTATCATAGATATTTGTTTCTATATTCGATTAAACCAGTCGCATATATATGGACCAGTTTGACAAACAATTATGAACACATGGAGACCTCTATATTTTTGAAGTAAATAAAGACATCTACACATGGAGTTATAACCCTCAGAAAAACATACGATCTTCATATACATGATATTCCAAACAATTATGATAAAAAAATCCGATGGCTAAAGAAAAACACGGTAATTAACGCAATATACGATTTTTCATAAAATCTAGAAGATTTTTTATCTCATGAACTACTGAACCAATTAAGCTCAAATGCTTGCGAGTTGTGTAGCTAAATAGTATTGATCAATACCCGAAATTTTAAATTGACAAATAAAGTTTCAAACACATTATAGCAGTCATGAGCAAACTAACCATATACAAAAAATAAAAATGGCAATATCTCAGAAACTTTTAATAAAATGGTACTCATATTTTGATTTGGTCAGATAGCCACCATTATAAGGAATATTTTGAAAAAAAATTGAATTCAGCTGAGTGCTTTTTGAGATATTAAAGAAAAAAGTTTCACATACAAAGTTGAATATCTCCGGAACTATTTGTCTGATTTCAACCATTCAAAATGCCAAACTTTCTCATCAGAAGACCTACAATCATACGGAGTTTGAAATTTCTATCTCGATTATTTTTCAAGTTGACATAGTAATGAGCGATTTCATCGAAAAAGTGAAAAAATGACAATAAAACTCAATTTTTCATAGCGGGGTGATTAAATTTCTATGCGATGAGATGGGTATCATCGTGACGAACATTGAAAAAAATGTAATTGGTCCAGCCGCCCCTGAGATATTTGCAACTGACGATTTTTGAGAAATCGCTATATCTCATGAATTACTCAACCGATCGGGCTGCGATTTAACACAGATTTGTGTCCCATTGATACCAACTATGAGCCAAAATTTCAGATTTTTTGTAATTAATGTTCTGGAGAGATTGACACATTTCTGGACAAACGCACATACATGCACACATACGCACACATATATACAGACGTTCTCTAAATAAATCACCATACCACCCTGAGTCATATCCAAGCAAAATTAGAGAATCGAAAAAAAATTCAATATTCGAAATTTCCATTCGGAAGCAAACAGAAGTACCGTGAGGACGTCAGTTCTCGGACGATATTCAGATCTCGGATGCAGAGCACTCTTACGATTGAATTTCAAATTAATTGCATATCCATAGTGCTCGACGGCCATTTTCTGTTATTCCCTCCAAAAGTAGAATAAATTCTCCCCAAATTGCAATATTTATTAATATTTCACTGAGTGTACAGAATTATTACACTTATATTTATTCGAGGGTTCACACAGTAGGGGGGTCTGTGGAGTGTTATGTAGTGTGCGGACGATGAAATCCCTCTGTGCTTCTTAAGCATCTAACAACAAAATCTAAGTGAAAAATTATTTATAATCGGTTTTTATGAGTTGAAGGTTAATTTTCGAATAAAAATAGATGTGGACAATTTAAAAAAATGAATAAATTATTGGAGAAATTGAGGGTCCGAGATCTGAATCCACCAAAGGCGAGGTGGGTTCAGTTCTCGGACGTGTTTATCCGTGTGCTTAACCTCAATCGCGCGCATGAAGAAATTTGACAGAAAAACTTGGCACATTCTCTGAGAAATTCTATTGCATTTCTAGTGGAATTCTATGAGAATTCTCTTGGAGTTCCATTAGAATTCTATTGAAAAATTCTATTCGTTGTTTGGGCCATTTATATAGAATTTTATCTAATTTTACCGTTTCATTTGTCCAAGAGACATTCGGTTTGAAAAAAGTAAATAGATTTTGAGATGTTTAATGAAATTCATAGGTGTAAATATTAGAATTTTTTTCTGCTAAATTTTTATTCGTTTTTGTTGCT